CTGTCACATTGGTGTCTATGGGAGAGCCACCCCTTAAGCAGACATGACCATACTTTTTTTCCCCAACGGTAAACAGCCTGAGAAAGGACTCTTCATTTATCCACCATCTTTGATGCAACCCCCCTGCTGCCCTTACCTGAAGTGAACCCTGATCTGACCAAAGGATAAGTAAAATCTATCATGGAACCCCTCTCAAATCAGGCTACAAAACCCAATCCAACTAAAGGGGAAAAACATTCCATGATGTGCAGACACATTCCACCTCTTAATATGTCAATCTAATGAAAAAAACATTACTGTAGTGGCACTGCTCCACCATTCAGGCCTACAAATAAGCTAGTCCCAAGTCAGGCTGAAAACCTCCCGTAGCCCTCCTACCCTCCCCTGTGGATCTGAAACTATTGGATAGGCGTAAGAAATATGGTGAAAATTCCACCCAGTCTAGCAAATCCTTTCAAATCTACAGGAGTGCAATGTGTTGGGGAGCATTCCAGATACTGCACATTAGTAGTACATAATTTAGTTCCAGTGATAACCGAATCATTACACCGCTGCTACTTCGTCCCCCTGTAGAGTACATTTCTGTATGCTGCTCTTTTGACAAAAGGAGAGCAATCATTAAAATCAAACCTATTTAGGTTCTACTTCAGCACCTGCACACATTTTTGCAGTACTAGGTGGGAATTGTATGTTCAAATAGGATCAGTGACAAGAGGTGGCATCCATACCATATTCAAGGACAAGCGAGTAAATAAACTCCCATTACAGTTAACTTTAGTTCAAAACATGTCTACACACATCGGTCATTGAACAGGAAAAATACAAATCTTCACCTTGAACCACCAATTTTATTTATTAAAAAAAAAAAAACTGCACAAGTGAGATGTGGGGCCATTGCAGGTGAACTGATGGGGCGTCTGCGCCATAGGCGTTGGTTTGGCATCTCATATCTTCCCCGGGCACTGCAAGGAAAGATGTGGGAATTCATTAAATGTATGCACAAATACCATATGTTTTAAACAGCAAAATAACAAACCCAAGGACAATTCTAACATACACCTATCCCTGGGACGACATACAAGTTGGAGTTGAGCTGAATGGCTTTCCAGTCCACCTACACAATTACTTACCTTATACTATAAAGTAATAATTTTACAGAGGTAGTACTGAGTCATTTTGACTTCCCTTGAGGGCCATTGCTAGCAGCATTGTTTTATAGTTCCCTTAGCTTTATGTGAAAACATACTTCAGGAATGGGTACCCCTCGCAGGATTGTGTTCCAGCCCTACTTCAACACACCTGATTCTGCTCCTCAGGACCATGATTAACTTAGTCAGGTGAATAAGGCTGGAGCAAAAACATGCGCACCCAACTGCTTTCTAGGAGTACATATGACTGCCCTACTATACGTCAGGGCACTCAAACCCTGTTCCTGGAATAATTAGCTGGTTGATAAGTTGAATCAGGTGAGTTACAACTGGGGTTGGCGTGAAAACCTACAGGACTATAGCTCTCCAGGAACAGGGTTGGAGAGCCCTGTGTTACATGGACAATAGTATTGCACACACCTTTATCGCAGCCTCCTGGCTTCCCTTTCAGACTCCAGAAGTGTCAGCACATCACCCTCTCTGACTGGCCCCTTCACATTCCTGATGATGGAACGGTTGCTGTCATCCATGAACTCCACACGGACCTGAAAGAGACAGGCAGGATACATAACATGCAACAGCCACACTGTTAACAGTTATTACCATAACACGCTGAACCAAAGAATCAAATACTACATCTGGTCACACCTGAAGTGTTTAGTAAACTGGTGCATTTCTATAAATACATTGCATTTCAATCCATTGACAGTTTACCTAGTTAACTAGCTTCTCAGGGATGGGATACACAACATCTGTCATTGATTAGCTAGCTACTTTGTTTTACCATGACATGTTAGCTAGCTGGCTAGTGACCACATGCCACAACCAATCTAGCTAGCTATGCAGGATAATCTTATACATTAGCATGTGGCATAGCCAGAGGAACAGAAGTGGGATCAATGACTACTAGCTTTTGCACAATACATCACCATTAGCTAGTTAACTTACTAACTTAGCTAACAATCGACATCATTAACTGGTTGGCTATCAAGTTAACACTAGAACTAGCTATTCAGTAACACATACCTGGGTACACTGTCCCTGGGAACCAGTTCTCCCGAGCACCTTGGTGACCTGGATAATACATTTAAACGGTTAGTTAGCCAACTAAACATCTGAGGAAACGTGGGATGTAAGAGTGGCTGTTCTTCAGCTACCTAGCGAGTGTTAAGTTATTAGCTAAAAGTAATGGCTGCTGTAATTTAGCACTTCCAGCACGCGCAGGTCACCAAGCTATGAGGCCCCATACTCCGTTCAAGTACAAACGTGGCAGGAACTTCAACAAAAAAAATTGCTCAAATGAAACAGAGTATTTACGAATGTATACATTAATTTCTTGAAAGTCTCTTAAATAGGATTGAGTTTTCTTACTCTTGCAAGCTTGATCGGCTGCACGCGGCTGGCATCCATATTGTCAGGTTAGACCGGAAAGGAAGTCACGTGGTGCGAGTCCGATATATATTCAAACTGTAATCCCAAATATTTTCAATTTCTAATACATTTACGCACTTTAGAATTTTATTATTTCATATTGTGTATGATATACGTTTAAAAATACATCTCCCTGAATTAAAAACATAGTCTATTTAAAAGAAATGTACATTTCTGGTTCCGGTATTCTGGTTCATACCACTCCGTAGAATAGGGGGTGGGGGAACCGGGACGAACCATATATGATGACACGAATTATCAGTATAATGCCGTTGATTTCTAATTATAGTTGCATCAAAAATATATATTATATTATAGTATTTTATAGGTATATTTTAATTGCAAAGACAACGCCTGGTTAACTTATTAAAGCATGTTGAATAAAGTTGAATTTTGAAGGACTAGACAAAACAAATGCACTTGTAATGGCACTTACAAATATTGTCTATATATCAATGAAAATGTGAAGGGTATTACTGGACAACAGCACATTATTACCCTAAACTGTCAGTGTGTCTGTCTCTTCCTGACTGTCTGTCTCTCTGCTGGTGGGGACAAAATATTCCCTTCACCAACTGTCTTGTCATTTTCTTATAGTAGCCAACCAAGTTTTGAATGCTTGGCCATTTCGAATTATAAAACCATTCTAATATTCTCCACTAAAGTACATTTTAAATGTGTTGTTCCTCCATATTGTAATTCAACACAGATGCCTGACAGCTACATTTCAGAGTGGATCTTGCATGACTATAATGAAATACAATGATCTAGACTGTACCTTTCATTTAAAAATCTGTGCTTCTTGCAATTCAGTCATGACCAAAGTTTTGTGAGAAATAATATTCCTCACTATGTGTTTAAAGGGGCAATCTGCAGTTGGAACAATAACAAAGTGCCTCCCCTCCTCATAAAAAAAATAAGAAAAGCTGAGAGATGGGGCTGGAAAAATGTAACCACTCTCAAATTCATAGACAGAGCTATACATTTACGTTGCAGGTTAGGAGAACTAACAACAAAGGTTATGAGAATTTATGTTGCAGGTTAGGAGAAATAATGCAGCAGGCTAGGATAATCTACGTAGCAGGTTAGGATAATTAAGTTAAGGTTAAGAAAAGGGTTCTGGGAAAGGTTCGCTAAAATGTATTATTCTTCAAGAAACAGTTGGTACATATCATTAATTTATTAGGTCCAAAAATGTATGTAGTAACTGCAGATTGCTGCTTTAAGGTATAAATACTCTCTATAGGCCAGTGGAAATAAGGGGGAAGTGATCTGCACGATAAAACTGCAGCCAATGGGATTCACATGAATAAATTGAAGTTGGAATGAATGCATAGATATGAAGGTATACATGAGGTTGTTGTTTACTGTGATGAATTTCTGTCCAGTTTGAACTGCATCTACCTTTAAGCCTTTAATAGCCCTGTCACAAATGAACAACTGCTGTCTCTGCTATGCCTTTCCATCCTCCCAGCACCAAATCCTTAAATCGCAACACTAATCCTCACTGACCGTATTTGTAACTCCTGTTAGGATAGAAAGAACAGCAATGGAAGTAGAGAATCCGTGGGGAGGATGAATCCCCAACACATGCTCTTGATCTTCTTGCAAGTCCAAACAAACACAGTATAGCGTTTCCTCTCCCTGCTGAATTTGTAAGAAAAGGAAAAGGAAGAAGAAATTCTTGCTTTCGTTGTTCTTTGTTTAGAGGAATGGAAAACGTGTGGGATATTGGATTTGTTGGTGATGTCTTTAATGACTTAACTTTCACTGGGTGAGCAGGATTTCTTTTTCTCTCGTACATTTTCAATCGAACAACCTTCAAGAAACCCTCGCCACCTGAAAAAGTGGCGCTCCAGTTTGTTTGCCAGGGTGAAGCTGAACACCAGTTTCTCCCAGAGCACAGAGGAACCAGACGCTATCTTCCCCTTTGGGCAGGAGAGCTCTGTGAAAGCATAATAATATGCCATTTAGCAGATGCTTTTATCCAAAGCGACTTACAGTCATGCGTGCATACATTTTTACATATGGGTGGTCCCGGGGATCGAACCAACTACCCTGGCATTACAAGCACCGTGCTCTACCAATTGAGCTACAGAGGATGACATAAAATGGATGTCTATGGACTACCTAGGCAGCCCTGCTCCTCAGACAGTGGTCCCGAAGGAGAAAAGGCCAGAGGAGAAAAGAGATCCAACATAGTCCCAATCAATGTCAGTGGGAAAGTCTTTCACATCCCAATCCTACCTGGTTCTCCTCTACCCAAAAAGCAGGATTAGCTCTCTGGCCCTCTACCGATCCTATGAAGAGGATGACACTCTGTGACGACTATTCAGTCCACAAAAATGAGTTCTTCTTTGACCAGGACCCCACTTTTTCCATGATATCTTCCACTTCTACTGCAGTAATGTCATGTGGGTAATGGAGAGTCTGTGCCAGCTCAATTTTGAGGAGGATATTAACTTCTGGGGTCTGCGTATGAGGGACACTCCGAGGTGTTGCCGCATCCTGTTTGAGGAAAAGGTGGATGAGATCAAAGATGGCCTGTAGGTCAACCAGGAGCTGATCGACGAGATCAAGCCGGCCCACGTGGGCGAGGAGGCCATTTTCAAGACCATGTTCCTGGGGGTGTTCTGCAAGGCCCTCTGGGACTTGATGGAGAACCCTTACTCCCCGTTAGCGGCTAAGGGCTTCGCCGTGTTCTCCAGCCTTTTTGTCCTCTTCTCCATCGTGGCGATGACCCTCAACACGGTGAAGGAGCTGAGGAAGTACACAATCTACGACAAGACCTACATGGAGTGTGTGGCGATCATCTCCATCGTCTTCTTCACCTTTGAGTACTTCTTGAGGCTGCTCACCACCTGTGACATCAAACACTTTGTGAAAAGTGCCCTAAACTTTGTGGACCATTTGGCCGTCTTGCCCTACTTCATCAAGATTATCTTTGAGATTTTTTCACAGACCTGAAGACCATGGCCCGGGTCAGCAAGGTGCTCAAGGTGGTCAAGCTCATGCGCATCTTCCGCATCCTCAAGCTGGCCAAGCATTCCACGGGCATGCAGCGTTTGGCTTCACCATCCGGCAGTGGTCAGAGCAGGTGTGCTGCCTGTTCCTGTTCATTAATCTAGGCATTTTCACCTTCTCGGCCCTCATGCAATCTGTGGAGCTGGACCAGCCAGGCACCCCTTTCAGCAGCATACCTGACGCTTGGTGGTGGGCTGCAGTGAGTGAACAACTCCATCTTCTATATGTTTTGTCATCTGTACAATATGTTTAAGTTCTTCTTCTATGGTATGCCACTTCTATTTTAGCAACATACACTACATTACCAAAAGTATGTGGACACCTGCTCGTCGAACATCTCATTCCAAAATCATGGGCATTAATATGGAGTTGGTCCCCACTTTGCTGCTATAACAGCCTCCATTATTCTGGGAAGGCTTTCCACTAGATGTTGGAACATTGCTGCAGGGACTTGCTTCCATTCAGCCACAAGAGCATTAGTGAGGTCAGGCACTGATGTTGGGCGATTAGGCCTGGCTCACAGTCGGCGTTCCAATTCATCCCAAAGGTGTTCGATGGGGTTGAAGTCAGGGCTCTGTGCAGGCCAGTCAGGTTCTTCCACACGGATCTCGACACACCATTTCTGTATGGACCTCGCTTTGTGCACGGGGGTATTGTCATGCTGAAACAGGAAAGGGCCTTCCCCAAACTGTTGCCACAAAGTTGGAAGCACAGAATAGTCTAGAATGCTATTGTATGCTGTAGCGTTAAGATTTCGCTTCACTGGAACTAAGGGGCCTAGCCCGAACCACGAAAAACTGCCCCAGACCATTATTAATCCTCCACCAAACCTTACAGTTGGCACTATGCATTGGGGAAGGTAGCGTACTCTTGGCATCCACCAAACCCAGATTCGTCCCTCGGACTGCCAGATGGTGAAGCATAATTCCTCACTCCAGAGAACGCTTTTCCACTGCTCCAGTCCAATAGCTGCAAGCTTTACACCACTCCAGCCAACGCTTGGCATTGCGCATGTTGATCTTAGGCTTGTGTGCGGTTGCTTGGCCATGGAAATCCATTTCATGAAGCTCCCGACGAACAGTTCTTGTGCTGACGTTGCTTCCAAAAGCAGTTTGGAACTCGGTAGTGAGTGTTGCAACTGAGGGTAGACGATTTTTACCTGCTATGCGCTTCAGCACTCGGCGGTCCCGTTCTGTGAGCTTGTGTGGCCTACCACTTCGCGGCTGAGCCGTTGTTGCTCCTAGACGTTTCCACTTCACAATAACAGCATTTACAGTTGAATGGGGCAGCTCTAGCAGGGCAGAAATGTGACAAACTGACTTGTTGAAAAAGTGGCATCCTATGACCGTGCCATGTTGAAAGTCACTGAGCTCTTCAGTAAGGCCATTCTACTGACAATGTTTGTCTATGGAGATTGCATGGCAGTGTGCTCGATTTTATACACCTGTCAGCAACGGGTATGGCTGAAATAGCCGAATCCACTAATTTGGAATGGTGTCCACATACTTTTGTATATATAGTGTATTTGCGTATGGCTTTTTCAGCCATTTACCACTTATTTGAACTCTCAATTGATGTAGCCTGTGGCGGTATACATAAAGGATCAATTTCCTGTTTGAGGTTCACTTTCATCATGAGGAAACAGGCACAACAAGGTTTTCATGAAATAAATGCTTTCCTGACTTTTGTTTTGAATTCCTCAGTATCATAATGTAATTCCTGTTTCACTGGAGGTTGAATTGGTCTTAGTTATTCCCAGAACTGTTTCTGTACCTGACATACTGTACATGATTAGTGTTGTAACTAATATCTTGATCAACTATAATCATGACCTAGACCATTTATTAATGTCAGGCTTACTCCCAAGTGCTGTGTGATGGCATTTTCTTTTAAGAAGGGCTAATAATGTATTTTTACCTATACAGCGCAGAAAAGGTTGGTGTGGGCTTGTTGTTTCCTTTACCTAGGCTCCTTCATTTGGTCGAGTTCTGATTCAAGTGGAAATATACAGTACGTTCTGTCAGCAAAATAAACCAGGGTGTCCTGTATAGTATGTGGCTTTGACTGAGATGTTCTTTAAGATTAACAAAACAACACCATTTCCCTCTTTGTCCTACAGGTCAGAATCTCCACTGTGGGCTATGGTGACATGGTGCCAATCTCCTATCTGGGTCGCTGCGTGGCTTTTGGCTGCATCTCCTTTGGCATCATCCTCAATGGAATACCCATCTCAATCTTCTTCAACAAGTTCTCAGATCACTGCGCCAAGCTCAAGGCCCAGGAGTACACCCAGACCACAGGCCCAAGAGTATGCACCTTTCAGCTCAAGAAACATTGCTAGATAACCATTTTCAGGTCTCGCCATAGACTTAAGTCAAATTAAGTCAGAAATGTAACGCGGCCACTCAGGAACATTCACTGTCTTCTTGTTAAGGAACTCCAATGTAGATTTGGCCTTGTGTTTTAGGTTATTGTCCTGCTGAAAGGTGAATTCATCTCCCAGTGTCTGGTGCAGACTGAACCAGGTTTTCCTCTAGGATATAGCCTGTGTTTAGCTCCATTCCGTTTCTTTTTTTATCCTGAAAAACTCCCCAGTCCTTAACAATTACAAGCATACCCATAACATGATGCAGCCACCACTATGCTTGAAAATATGGAGAGTGGTAATCAGTAGTATATGTGTTGTATTGGATTTGCCCCAAACATAACACTTTCTATTCAGGACAAAAGGTTAATTGCTTTGCCACATTTTTGGCAGTATTACTTTAGTGCCTTGTTTCAAACAGGATGCATGTTTTGGAATAATTGTTTTCTTCCTTCTTTCCCCTCTGTCAATTAGGTTAGTATTGTGGAGTAACTACAATGTTGTTGATCCATCCTCAGTTTTCTTCTATCTCGGCCATTAAACTCTGTAACTGTTTTTAAAGTCACCATTGACCTCATGGTGAAATCTCTGAGCAGTTCCTTCCTAGTGTATTAATTCTTAAAAGTCTAAGACATTGGGGAGGGGGGGGGGGGGGATTGGTTCTAAGCTGACATATGGAATTGTTTTAAGATGGTCATACTATGGATCATTTAGCTATTTCGTTTGGAATTGTATGTATATATATACAGTGGGGGAAAAAAGTATTTAGTCAGCCACCAATTGTGCAAGTTCTCCCACTTAAAAAGATGAGAGAGGCCTGTAATTTTCATCATAGGTACACGTCAACTATGACAGACAAATTGAGATTTTTTCCCCCAGAAAATCACATTGTAGGATTTTTTATGAATTTATTTGCAAATTATGGTGGAAAATAAGTATTTGGTCACCTACAAACAAGCAAGATTTCTGGCTCTCACATACCTGTAACTTCTTCTTTAAGAGGTTACCTGTATTAATGGCACCTGTTTGAACTTGTTATCAGTATAAAATACACCTGTCCACAACCTCAAACAGTCACACTCCAAACTCCACTATGGCCAAGACCAAATAGCTGTCAAAGGACACCAGAAACAAAATTGTAGACCTGCACCAGGCTGGGAAGACTGAATCTGCAATAGGTAAGCAGCTTGGTTTGAAGAAATCAACTGTGGGAGCAATTATTAGGAAATGGAAGACATACAAGACCACTGATAATCTCCCTCGATCTGGGGCTCCACGCAAGATCTCACCCCGTGGGGTCAAAATGATCACAAGAACGGTGAGCAAAAATCCCAGAACCACACGGGGGGACCTAGTGAATGACCTGCAGAGAGCTGGGACCAAAGTAACAAAGCCTACCATCAGTAACACACTACGCCGCCAGGGACTCAAATCCTGCAGTGCCAGACGTGTCCCCCTGCTTAAGCCAGTACATGTCCAGGCCCATCTGAAGTTTGCTAGAGTGCATTTGGATGATCCAGAAGAGGATTGGGAGAATGTCATATGGTCAGATGAAACCAAAATAGAACTTTTTGGTAAAAACTCAACTCGTCGTGTTTGGAGGACAAAGAATGCTGAGTTGCATCCAAAGAACACCATACCTACTGTGACGCATGGGGGTGGAAACATCATGCTTTGGGGCTGTTTTTCTGCAAAGGTACCAGGATGACTGATCCGTGTAAAGGAAAGAATGAATGGGGCCATGTATCGTGAGATTTTGAGAGAAAACCTCCTTCCATCAGCAAGGGCATTGAAGATGAAACATGGCTGGGTCTTTCAGCATGACAATGAGATATTGAGATATTGAGAAACTTTTGTTATTGACCAAATACTTATTTTCCACCATAATTTGCAAATAAATTCTTTAAAAATCCTACAATGTGATTTTCTGGATTTTTTTTCCTCATTTTGTCTGTCATAGTTGACGTGTACCTATGATGAAAATTACAGGCCTCTCTCATCTTTTTAAGTGGGAGAACTTGCACAATTGGTGGCTGACTAAATACTTTTTTCCCCCACTGTATAAAATCATATATTTGATAATATTTTGGCCTTTACTACTATAGCCCAGAGAAACACATTTAATAACACATTCATAAATGGTAATAAAGACAATCAAAAATAAATCATAAGAAACAAGGTTTTGAAGTGTTTGGAGATATAAGAAAGCTCAGGAAATATATATTTAAAATATATATATATATATATTAAAATAATACCCCAAAATACCCCATAATGACAAAGCAAAAATAGTTGTTTTTTTAAGAACTGTTTGCAAATGTATTACAAATAAAAAAACTGAAATATCACATTTACAAAAGTATTCAGATCCTTTACTCAGTACTTTGTTGAAGCACCTTTGGCAGCGATTACAGCATCGAGTCTTCTTGGGTATGACGCTACAAGCTTGGCACACCTGTATTTGGGGAGTTTCTCCCATTCTTCTCTGCAGATCCTCAAGCTCTGTCAGGTTGGATGGGGAGCGTTGCTGCACAGCTATTTTCAGATCTCTCCAGAGATGTTCGATAGGGTTCAAGTCCGGGCTCTGGCTGGGCGACTCAAGGACATTCAGACTTGACCCGAAGCCACTCCTGCATTGTATTGGCTGTGAGCTTAGGGTCGTTGTCCTGTTGGAAGGTGATTCTTTGACCCAGTCTGAGGTCCTAAGTACTATGGAGCAGGTTTTCATCAAGGATCTCTCTGTACTTTGCTCTGTTCATCTTTCCTTCAATCCTGACTAGTCTCCCAGTCTTTGCCGCTGAAAAACATCCCCACAGCATGATGCTGCCACCACCATGCTTCACCGTAGGGATGGTGCCAGGTTTCCTCCAGATGTGACACTTGGCATTCAGGCAAAATAGTTCAATCTTGGTTTCATCAGACCAGAGAATCTTGTTTCTCGTGGTCTGAGAGTCTTTAGGTGCCTTTTGGCAAACTCAAAGTGGGCCATCGTGCCTTTTACTGAGGAGTGGCTTCCATCTGGCCACTCTACCATAAAGGCCTGATTGGTGGAGTACTGCAGAGATGGTTGTCCTTCTGGAAGTTTCTCCCATCTCCACAGAGGAACTCTAGAGCTCTGTCAGAGTGACCATCGGGTTCTTGGTCACATCCCTGACCAAGGCCCTTCTCCCCCAATTGCTCAGTTTGGCCGGGCGGCTAGCCCTAGGAAGAGCCTTGGTGGTTCCAAACTTCTTCCATTTAAGAATGATGGAGGCCACTGTGTTCTTGGGGACCTTCAATGCTGCAGACATTTTTTGGTACCCTTCCCCAGATCTGTGCCTCGGCCCAATCCTGTCTCGGAGCTCTACGGACAATTCCTTCGACCTCATGGCTTGGTTTTTGCTCTGACATGCACTGTCAACTGTGGGACCTTATATACAGTGAGGGAAAAAAAGTATTTGATCCCCTGCTGATTTTGTATGTTTGCCACTGACAAAGGAATGATCAGTCTATAATTTTAATGGTAGGTTTATTTGAACAGTGAGAGACAGAATAACAACAAAAAAATCCAGATAAACGCATGTCAAAAATGTTATAAATTGATTTGCATTTTAATGAGGGAAATAAGTATTTGACCCCTCTGCAAAACATGACTTAGCACTTGGTGGCAAAACCCTTGTTGGCAATCACAGAGGTCAGACGTTTCTTGTAGTTGGCCACCAGGTTTGAACACATCTCAGGAGGGATTTTTTCCCACTCCTCTTCGCAGATCTTCTCCAAATCATTAAGGTTTCGAGGCTGACGTTTGGCAACTCGAACCTTCAGCTCCCTCCACAGATTTTCTATGGGATTAAGGTCTGGAGACTGGCTAGGCCAGGACCTTAATGTGCTTCTTCTTGAGCCACTCCTTTGTTGCCTTGGCCGTGTGTTTTGGGTCATTGTCATGCTGGAATACCCATCCACGACCCATTTTCAATGCCCTGGCTGAGGGAAGGAGGTTCTCACCCAATATTTGACGGTACATGGCCCCGTCCATCATCCCTTTGATGCGGTGGAGTTGTCCTGTCCCCTTAGCAGAAAAACACCCCCAAAGCATAATGTTTCCACCTCCATGTTTGACGGTGGGGATGGTGTTCTTGGGGTCATAGGCAGCATTCCTCCTCCTCCAAACATGGCAAGTTGAGTTGATGCCAAAGAGCTCCATTTTGGTCTCATCTGACCACAACACTTTCACCCAGTTCTCCTCTGAATCATTCAGATGTTCATTGGCAATCTTCAGACGGGCCTGTATATGTGCTTTCTTGAGCAGGGGGACCTTGCGGGCGCTGCAGGATTTCAGTCCTTCACGGCGTAGTGTGTTACCAATTGTTTTCTTGGTGACTATGGTCCCAGCTGCCTTGAGATCATTGACAAGATCCTCCCGTGTAGTTCTGGGCTGATTCCTCACCGTTCTCATGATCATTGCAACTCCACGAGGTGAGATCTTGCATGGAGCCCCAGGCCGAGGGAGATTTACAGTTATTTTGTGTTTCTTCCATTTGCGAATAATCGCACCAACTGTTGTCACCTTCTCACCAAGCTGCTTGGCGATGGTCTTGTAGCCCATTCCAGCCTTGTGTAGGTCTACAATCTTGACCCTGACATCCTTGGAGAGCTCTATGGTCTTGGCCATGGTGGAGAGTTTGGAATCTGATTGATTGATTGCTTCTGTGGACAGGTGTCTTTTATACAGGTAACAAGCTGAGATTAGGAGCACTCAGCTCATTACCTGTATAAAATACACCTGGGAGCCAGAAATCTTTCTGATTGAGAGGGGGTCAAATACTTATTTCCCTCATTAAAATGCAAATCAATTTATAACATTTTTGACATGCGTTTTTCTGAATTTTGTTGTTGTTATTCAGTCTCTCACTGTTCAAATAAACCTACCATTAAAATTATAGACTGATCATTTCTTTGTCAGTGGGCAAACGTACAAAATCAGTAGGGAATAAAATACTTTTTTCCCTCACTGTATCCTGAGGCTGCATTTATTGTAGCCGGGGATTTTAACAAAGCAAATTTGAGGACTAGGCTGCCGAAGTTCTATCAACATATCGACTTTTGTACTCGCGCTGCTAAAATCCTCGACCATTGCTATTCGAACTTCCGAGATGGTTATAAGGCCCTCCCCCGCCCTCCTTTCGGCAAATCTGACCACAACTCCATTTTGCTTGTCCCTTCCTATAGGCAGAAACTCAAACAGGAAGTACCCGTGCTAAGGACTATTCAACGCTGTTCTGACCAATCGGAATCCACACTTCAAGATTGTTTTGATCACGCGGACTGGGATATGTTCGGGTAGCTACCGAAACTAATTTAGACATATACTCTGAAACAGTGACTGAGTTTATCAGGAAGTTGGGCCCACTGTGACAATTAAAACCTACCCTAACCAGAAACCGTGGATAGACGGCAGCATTCGCGCAAATCTGAAAGCGCGAACCACCGCATTCAACCATGGCAAGGTGGCTGGGAATATGGCAGAATACAAACAGTGTAGCTACTCACTCTGCAAGGCAAATAAACTGGCAAAACATCAGTACAGAGACAAAGTGGAGTCGGAATTCAACGGCCCAGACACTAGACGTATGTGGCAGGGTCTACAGACAATCACGGACTACAAAAAGAAAACCAGCCACGTCGCCAACACCGACGTCTCGCTTCCAGACAAGCTAAACACCTTCTTCGCACGCTTTGAGGATAACACAGTGCCATCGACGAGGCCCACTTCCAAGGACTGTGGCCTCACCTTCTCCATGGCCGACGTGATTAAGACATTTAAGCATGTTAACCCCCGCAAGGCTGCCGGCCCAGACGGCATCCCTAGCCGCATCCTCAGAGCATGCGCAGACCAGCTGGCTGGTGTGTTCATGGACATTCAATCTCTCCCTTTCCCAGTCTGCTGTTCCCATATGCTTCTAGAGGGCCACCATTGTTCCTGTACCCAAGAAAGCAAAGGTAACTGAACTAAATGACTATCGCCCTAATAGCACTCACCTCTGTCATCATGAAGACTAGTCAAGGATCACATCACCTCTACCTTACCTGTCACCCTAGACCCACTTCAATTTGCTTACCGCCCCAATAGATCCACAGACGATGCAATTGCCATCACACTGCACACTGCCCTATCCCATCTGGACAAGAGGAATACCTATGTAAGAATGCTGTTCATTGACTATAGCTCAGCATTCAACACCATAGTACCCTCCAAGCTCATTATTAAGCTCGAGGCCCTGGGTCTGAACCCCGCCCTGTGCAACTGGGTCCTGGAATTCCTGATGGGCCGCCCCCAGGTGGTGAAGGTAGGAAACAACATCTCCACTTCGCTGATCCTCAACACAAGGTTGCGTGCTCAGCCCCCTCCTGTGCTCCCTGTTCACCCATGACTGTGTGGCCAAGCATGCCTCCAACTCAATCATCAAGTTTGCAGACGACACAACAGTAGTAGGCTTGATTACCAACAATGACGAGACCGCCTTCAGGGAGGAGGTGAAGGCTCTGGGAGTGTGGTGCCAGGAAAATAACCTCTCACTCAACATCAACAAAACAAAGGAGATGATCGTGGACTTCAGGAAACAGCAGAGGGTGCACCCCCCTATCCACATCGAAGGGACCGCAGTGGAGAAGGTGGAAAGCTTCAAGTTCCTTGGCGTACATATCACCGACAAACTGAAATGGTCCACCCACACAGACAGTGTGGTGAAGAAGGCACAACAGAGCCTCTTCAACCTCAGGAGGCTGAAGAAATTTGGCTTATCACCTAAAACCCTAACAAACTTTTACAGATGCACAATTAAGAGCATCCTGTCGGGCTGTATCACCGCCTGGTACAGCAACTGCACCGCCCACAACCGCAGGGCTCTCCAGAGGGTGGTGCGGTCTGCCGAACGCATTACTGGGGGCAAACTACCCGCCCTCCAAGACACATATATTTATGTGGTCCTCTGTAGCTCAATTGGTAGAGCATCCCCGGGACCACCCATACGTAAAAATGTATGCACACATGACTGTAAGTCGCTTTGGATAAAAGCGTCTGCTAAATGGCATATTATATTATATTTACATTTAAGTAATTTAGCAGACGCTCTTATCCAGAGCGACTTACAACAGCACCCGATGTCACAGGAAGAATGAAAAATAGCTTCTATCTCAAGGCCATCAGACTGTTAACTAGCCATCACTAGCACATTAGAGGCTGCTGCTGCCTATTGAAATCACTGGCCACTTTAAGAAATGGAACACCAGTCACTTTAATAATGTTTACATATCTTGCACTACTCATCTCATACGTATATACTGCATTCTATTCTATAATATTATTCTGTATCTTAGTCCATGCCGCTCTGTCATTGCTTGTCCATATCTGTATATATCGGGCGGCAGGTAGCTTAGTGGTTAGAGCGTTGTGCCAGTAACCGAAAGGTTGCTGGTTCTAATCCCTGAGCCGACTAGGTGAAAAATCTGTTGATGTGCCCTTGAGCAAGGCACTTAACCCTAATTGCTCTGGATAAGAGCGTCTGCTAAATGACTAAAATGTATATTCTTAAATCCCATTCCTTACTTTTTGTGTGTATTGTTGTGAAATTGTTAGATATTACTGCACTGTCGGAGCTAGAAGCACAAGCATTTCGTTACACCCGCTATAACATCTGCTAAACACGTATATGTGGCAAATAAAATTTGATTTGACATTTATTGTCACGAATCTTGCCCTGGAATGAGAACTGAGCGATTTCTGCTAGATGGGCCAGCTGCAAAGTCAAAATTGGCTATATTGTAAAAATGTATGAAAACAAAAATTAGTTGTTTGGTCTAATTTAAAGTTACGGTTAGGCATTAGGGTAAGTAGTGTGGTTAAGGTTAGGTTTAAAATCTGATTTTATGACTTTGTGGCTGTGCCAGCTAGTGACCACTCTTGCAGAGCTGCCTCCAGAACAATATTCATGACGAAAAATATTAACCTGCATGTTCAACATCAATTAAAGCAAGGAGAAGCCAAGGGCTTTTGACAGTTGCCTGGCGGTGTCTTCTAGCGTCAACCTGGAGCCAAGTAGGGAGAGACAGGGAATGCACCCAAGGCTACCCACACACACACACACTCATGCTGTGAAAGGAGTCCGTGTGACGGCTGTGACTCCACCATGGGACTCTTTGGTATTGCTATTCTAGATATGATGCGCTTTGAAATTTATTGTCTGCATATTTTATTTTAAGGTGAACAAAACAAGATGTAACTGAAACCCAATAGCTCAATGCCAAATATTGTGTAAAGTGCGTATTCAACAAATGTTTGAAATATGAAGCTGTGGTATGAATGCGCATGGTGAAGTCGTTATCCTTGACATTCTTCAAGATATGTCCAGAAACATAGCCACAGTTGGTAAATAACTTATCTCCCAAAAAATATGCCAACTAATCACAGAGAATACATACACATATCAACATTTTCAAATAATTAAAAATAGAAAGTCCATAAATGTGGAGATTTATGGAATAAGGAATGTGGCATATTTTCATAGTAGAGGCTCATCAGGGTTAGATAATGAAACATTTCATAATGGTAGGATACAGTACAACATAACTTTATTGTCCATATGTTACAGGGAACAATACAATAGTGTCTTACACTCTGCTCTCTTTTTTCCAGGGCCTGGCCCAGGATTCGAACCGACCACATTTCAGCCACAGGTCCAACCCCTTAGCCACTGGGCTACCAATAACAGATAGCAGCCTTATTATCCTTCAGGTCAATGTATGGATCACCCTATGGTTTTGGGGCCATAAGAGGCTTTCTTGTATACGAGTAAACTAAATCTTTATAATGAAAAGGAAAAACAATTTCAGATCACCTGGAAGTATCAATTTTCCTATACTTGCACCACTAACCCCAGTTCATAAACCCCATGCTATAGATCACCATTTGACATGTATTTATCTCAAATGAGAGTTCCAGCCTTGAGGGGAACTCTCTTTGACATGTGGCGATCTCAAGATCAGGACATCCTTTTCCTTGGCCAAGGCCGAATGGCTCCTTACGAGAATCCTGGCCTGGCATAGACAGTAGGGCATTATATAAGGCCCTTGGAAGCTCTCACAAGTAGCTACACATCACATCCGTCCTCACCTCATCGTACCATACCTGCTGCATCTATTTGCTGTTTGTGTGATTTACTTGGGCGCAAACATCAACATCATGGATGCTAAGTGTCTTGTGTCTCTTGTGGTAGTTCTCATGGTTGGGGTGTATGGGACCCAGGGGCAGGATGCCAGGGTGAAGCTGTGTGGGAGAGAGTTTATCCGTATGGTGGTCACATCGTGTGGGAGCTCCAGACTGAAGCGCTCCGCTCCGGAGCTTGGACAACACCACGTCAACCGCCACAGTGAGTACCACAACTCTCAAGGACCTAATAGCTTGTTTCCACATTTTTATGATGCTGTTGTTTGTGCGTGAATTCAGTTTAGTTGAATCCGAAAGGCATACATGTATTTTTATACTGAAAAGCATCCCACTGGGCACACACTGGTTGAATCAACATTGTTTACACGTCATTTCAATGAAATGACGTTGAACTAAAGTGGAATATACATTAAATTGACGTCTGTACCCAGTGGGACGAGAATGGAGGTTAGGGTAAATGGAATCCTCTTCTCAACCAAGCTGACATCCAGAGGCATCATTCACCCATTATTTTAGAGTGGGCACGAAGTATGTGAGGATGGAGTTGGAGAACCCCTCACGAAAACCCCTCCGGAAGTTGTAGAATTTTGCATTTTTCAATCACCTGAAACATCATTTTCCTGCAATCTAGAGCCATAATCATCATGCCTACTTCTATGAACAAATGTCTTTTTTTCTGCATAGGTTATCTCAGCATATCTTCTTTACCTGTTCAATTGCCATTTTACTGAGGGTGTCATTCTGACTGTAAATCACATATCTCAATATACTGCAATAACATCCCTAAGATATTATATACAAATTACAACGACAGTACATAGGATCATAACACATATCTTCAATACAGGCACATATCATGGCGTCATAATTAATACAAAAATATCATGATATTTAAAGATTTAAAGATTTAGCATGCCAGATGACATTTAAACCAAGCATTTTTCTGCATATCTAAGCATACCTCTTGAGCTGTCTGTATCCTCCTGACTGGTGGTTCTTTTTTTTTGTTTCTCTGTATCTCTGCAAAATCTGGTTAAAAGATTGAAAGGAATGTGAGTCTTATTCAGTACATTTAGTAATTGCTTGCTAAAGTCTAGCAACCTTCCAGCAGGCATACCAGCTAATGTAGTTAGACAAGCTACTCTAATTTGATTGGTAGCCTGAAATGGCTTGGTAGCTAGTTATGAGGTTGGGAGATTGGGAACCTACCTAGCTGGCTAGCTAAAGCCAACTTTATGAAATTCCTAGGTGGCTAGTATCACAGAGAAACAACAAAACATGTTTGTTTTATTTATTCATCAAGAAGGAATGAATAGGCTACGTAGCTTGATCAAATTCATTTACAAACATACCTCCTGCGAGTGCTGCCCATCACTGACAGCTAAAATCAAATCAATGGCTGTGTGTCACTCTTTACTATTTGTCTTGCTCCGTGGTGCACCTTGGACGTAACCACTTACTAGGGAGAGTAGGGGGTTCCAGCCAGAGTGCCCCCTCCGCAAAATACCACTGAGAGATATTTTTATAAATACTTTTTATAAAATGTAGGCTTAATAAGTTTAGTAACTCATTTAACATCTACAAAATGTCAAAACAGGACAAATATGAGGGGGCACATGCCCTTGTGCCCCCTATAGGCATGACACCTCTGCTGATATCTGCCTAAATTGTAAATTATACCTAATTCAGTTTTTTTCCATCTACAGGGGCAATTCTGGATTGGCTGAACAGCAATCAGTTTGCCAACCTGAGGACTGCAGAGCCTGGCGAAGATGTGATGACACAGCGAGACGACCAGGACTTCACAGAGAGTCTGACAGAAGACCAGCAGACCCATCTAGGGTTCCCCAGCACACCTCCACAGGTCCAAGTGGACATGGAGCCTTCAACCATCCCTCTGGGGTACACCGTGTCCTCCCGTACCCGCCGAGACGTGGGGCCTGCTGGGGTGTGCTGCCGGTCCGGCTGCACCATGAGCGAGCTGGTCCAGTATTGCTGAGCTAAAGATAATGCTAGGCTAATGCTAGGCTAGAGTAACATTTCACAAGGAGAATTGTTGGTTAGCCATTGGTTAGCCATTGGAATGATGAATAAGGTAAAATCAGGTTTATTTACGTTTGTTGGGATGTTTGAAGGGCCATTTTGCAGTTGCCAAACCTTTGCATTAGAGCTAATGCAGTTAGTTCTACTAAAATGTTTTACTAAAATGTTCATGTCGTTTTCTTGATATCATGAATTGTGTGTTAATTTAAAGATCAGAATATTGTTGTTGAATGACTTGGGTAATGACAAAATCAAGACAAAAAGAATGTTGTCGAAAGAGGCTTTATTTATAATAATAATTTATATTATTTATTATATTAATATTATACTTGATATTCACCTGCACAATGAAGGACAACAAATAATGCCAAATGAGAGTTGTCAAGAAATCTTCCTGTTCATCTTGAATCACAATGTAATAAAGCTTTTGAAGATCATTGGTGAGTGGTGGTTACTTAATAGATGGTCTGTCTTATGTAAACCATGCTTTTCTGACTTCAAACTTCAAATAGGGACAATAACCCCTCACTTCTCCACAGTGTGTTGCGAGCTCCATATTATGTTAAGTGGCTTTGAAACCTATAGTGAAATGTGCTATACAGTATAAATGCAATCGATCCATGTACCATAGAGAGAGCATCTCTCTCTATTAAAGATAAATGATCAGCCTGCCCTCTCACTCCACTCTAAGCTATTTCCATTCTCATTACAATCTTCATCAGTGTACATAATTGAAAAAGGCAGAGAAAATCCTCTCAAAAGTCTGTATGGCAGTAGCCAGATTACAGCTCCAAATACATACTCGGTCTGAATAGACACTGAATCCAGTTCACTGTCTCTGATAGGGATAAATCGGATTGGGCTAAGTGCATGGGCCAAGTGCTCCAACTATAACACCATAACACAAATCCCTTTAACCCCTCCAGCTCGGCACAGTGGGGGGTCCGGCTAATATCCCATCAAATATGATAAACACTACAGATGCCACTGTATAGTGGAACATTTAGCCAACATCCTATCTGTAGAATAGGGGCTAATATATGGTTACTGTAGTGTTATGTCAGCTCAGATGGTGTTAGAGCCATTTTGATACAAAATAAAATGTGTTGAAATTATATTATGGAATGCATAATATTGTGTATAGAAAACACTATTTGGGAAAAATGAATGTGTTAGGTTGGGTGGTGGACTCAGGTGCAGAGACGGACACACGGACAAAGAGAGTAAAATTAGGATGTAGTTTATTCAACGTGTATTGGCAGAGAGAAGTAGTCAGGGTGGAATAGCTTCAGGCTGGGGTAGGAGCTGAGTGGGGTGGAGAGCCAGTAGTCCTGAGAGCTGGATAACGAGGATATCAGGCAACAGAGGAGCAGGTAGCGGCGTGGGAATGGCAGGCAGGCAGGCAGGCAAGCAGGCAGCAGGAACAGACGAGATCTGGTCGAAGGAGAGACAGGTTACAAAACGTGGCAGGAACAACAATAATACTGAGAGAGTACAACTACACAGAGAGTGCTGTACGGGCCAAGTTACCACTGGAAGTGTAGGAACGAACTGGCGCTGGAGAGGTGTCCAGCCCGGGTAGATATCTGCTGCTTGATTGGTGCCAATGAGCTGCAGCTTGATGCAACTGATCTGATGATAGAAAGGCCACGCCCGCTGACCTAGAACCTCTGACTGCACAGCAGGGGGAGACAGACACAAACAACACACACAGGGGAGAAAAGGGAAAGGAACACCAACAGGAACAGGACCAACAGAGCCGGACCGTAACAGTACCCCCCCCCTCAACGGGCGCCACCCGGCGACCCACCCGGCTTGTCAGGGTGGTCCCTATGGAAGTCCTTCACTAGCTGAGGATCCAGAATAAAACGTCTGGGAATCCAGGACCTCTCCTCGGGACCGTATCCCTCCCAGTCCACCAGGTACTGAAACCCTCTACCACGCCTTCGGACGTCCAGCAGTCTCCGAACCGTGTAGGCTGGATGGTCGTCAATAATGCGCGGTGGCGGAGGGGGATCCACCGGCGGACACAAAGGACTGGAGGAGACCATCTTCAGCTGGGACACGTGAAATGTGGGATGGACTCTCATGGCCTGGGGAAGCTTCAACCGAACAGCCGAAGGGTTGATGATGGATTCGACCTCAAAAGGACCCAAATACCGGGGCGACAGTTTACGGGAGTCAGTGCGCAGGGGAATGTTGCTGGAGGAGAGCCAGACTCGCTGACCAGGCTGGAACTGTGGAGCGACTACCCTGTGCCTGTCCGCCACACTCTTATTGCGCTCTGCTGTCCGTAGAAGGGCCTCACGGGTGTCCACCCACACCTTGCGGCAACGACGAAGGTTATCCTGAACTGACGGGACGGTTAACTCCTTTTCCTGAGACGGGAACAATGGCGGTTGGTACCCCAAAGCCGCCTCAAATGGTGAAAGGCCGGTGGCAGATGAGGTGAGGGAATTGTGGGCATATTCGACCCACGGGAGGTGTTTGGCCCAGGTGGACGGGTTCTGGGATGTCACACAGCGTAGAGCAGCCTCCAGGTCCTGATTGGTCCTCTCAGTCTGGCCATTGGACTGGGGATGGAACCCTGATGAGAGACTGACAGAGGCACCCAGAGCAGAACAAAACTCCTTCCATACCCGAGAAATGAACTGTGGACCTCTATCGGACACTATGTCCACAGGTATTCCATGGGGACGGAATACATGTAGGACAAAGAGGTCGGCCGTCTCACTGGCAGACGGTAATTTTGGTAATGCAACAAAATGGGCAGATTTAGAGAATCTGTCCACGATGGTGAGTATGGTGTCATTACCCTCAGACATAGGAAGTCCAGTGACGAAGTCCAAGGCCACGTGAGACCAAGGACGACTCGGGACTGGGAGAGGCCGCAGCAGGCCCGAAGGCGCCCTGTGGGAAGCCTTATTTTGGGCACAGATGGAACAGGCCGCCACGTACTCCCGGACGTCAGCCTCGGCGGATGGCCACCAAAAGTGCCTCTTCAGTAGCGATAGTGTACGTTTCATACCAGGGTGGCAGGAGAAGCGTGAGGTGTGGATCCAGTTGAGCACTTGCGGCCGCACGGCTGCGGGAACATAGAGAAGGTCGGGGGGGCCATCGGCCGGTCCAGGTTCCGACTCTTGTGCCGATCGGACGAGGGACTCGATTTCCCAGTGAACCGCCGCCACCAAACAGGAAGCGGGCAGAACAGGTTCAGGATTGCTGGAGTCTTCATTGTCTGTAAACTCAGCCAGGTCCAAGTACTCCTCAGGGACTGAAGAGAGGTCTGGGGTTTTGACAGGGGAAGCAGGGGAACCTACCGAGGGCGGAATAGCCGACCCAAGGCAAGCAGAATGGCAGTGAGTGCTCCAACTGTGTATCTTGTGGTTTTGCCAGTCAATATGGGGGTTGTGAAGGCTAAGCCAAGGGAAACCCAGGATAAGGGGGGAGGCCGAGGAGGAGACTACTTTAAACTGGATGGTTTCTTTGTGATTGCCGGACAGCATGAGAGAAACGGGGACAGTTTGGTGGGTGATGTTGGCAAACTGACGGCCGTCTATAGCGGTTACTGTTATAGGCTTAGGCAGGGGCTTAACAGGGATCTCAGCCTGAGTGACCAGGTTAACGTCAACAAAATTATCCTCAGCACCAGAGTCAATGAGAGCAGCTAATGGGAGAGACAGATTCCTGAACTGGACTGTAGCTGGGATAACTAGACGGGGTGCTGTGGGCATTGAGTCAGGTGTAGCACTCGCAAGTACGCCCACTTTTACCTGCGAGCTTTGTCTTTTTGGGCGAACCGGACAGTTAATCAGGAAATGAGTGCGGTCCCCACAGTACATGCACTCACCAACCCGCATGCGCCGTTCCTTTTCGGCAGGGGACAGACGAGCGCGGCCCAGCTGCATGGGCTCGTCTAGTTCCATGGAGGGATCCGCTGAGGTGTGTGGGCGGTGTCCGAGTGGTGATGTTGCTCGGGTTGCAGAAAGCGAGGGAGCCCCGCCTGCGGTGTGGACCCGACCGCCCCTCTCCTGTCTCCTCTCCCGTAGCCTGTTGTCTATTCGTGTAGCAAGGGAAACGAGAACATGAAGGTTAGCAGGCTCTTCACGAACAGCTAGTTCATTCTTAATCGTGTCACTTAACCCGTTAACAAACGCTCCCTGAAGAGCTTCGTCATTCCACTTGGAATCGGCTGCCAAGGTCCAAAAATCAATGGCGTATTCAGCCACGCTACCCGTGCCCTGTCGTAGCTTCAACAGTCTCTTTGTGGCGGTCCCGGCATGGTCCGGGTGATCAAACACCACTTTCAATTGAGAGGAAAAATCGTCAAACGACAGGCTGGCGATCTGCTGAGTAGAACAAGCCGCTTCTGCCCAAATCAAAGCTTTGCCCCTCAGTAACCCCAGAGCGTAATGTACCTTTGAGGATTCCGTGGAGAAGGACAGGGGCTTCTGTTGGAACACCAAGCGGCACTGAAGCAGGAAACCACGGCACTTGTTCAGGTCCCCGGTGAAAGGTTCGGGTGAGGTTGTAGGGGGTTCCCGAAGGGCAGGAGCGGAAGCCGAGCCTGGAGCCACTGTAGGAGGAACAGGCGGAGGAGAAGCAGAGGGAGAAAGGGTAGTGAGTGTTACCAGGTTAGCTACCTGAGAGGTGAGATGAGATACTTGATCCAACAACTGCTGGTTGTTATCCAATAGCATCCGGATGAGTTGGTCGTGTTGTCCCAAGAGTACTCCTTGTGAATGGAGGGCGTGTTGTACGCCATCACCCGTTGTTTCATGTGACATCTCTGCTGAGTCCATGTTTGGCCAGTTCGTTCTGTTAGGTTGGGTGGTGGACTCAGGTGCAGAGACGGACACACGGACAAAGAGAGTAAAATTAGGATGTAGTTTATTCAACGTGTATTGGCAGAGAGAAGTAGTCAGGGTGGAATAGCTTCAGGCTGGGGTAGGAGCT